TGTTAGCTCTAAACCTGATAGAGACAGTGCCCCATATTGCCGCTGCCAATGAGACAATACAGCAATTGTTTCAGGAGATTCAAGAAGTTTTATGCTCTCGCAAGCAAGCTTGCTTTATAGGGCATATTCGGGGTCACTCTCAGCTAGCAGGACCTTTAGCGGAAGGTAATGAGCTTGCGGACGGTCAAACGCAGGGCTGTTTCTTAGCCATCACTGATCCAGTCCAGGCAGCAAAAGACTCTCATGCGCTGCATCATCAGTCAGCGCAAGGGCTTCGACAGCAATTTAAGATCTCATGCGAGGCCGAGAGATCTCAGTGTCCTCAGTGTCCACAGCTGTTACCTGTACCTCATTTTGGGGTGAACCCCTGCGGTTTAAAGCCCAATCAGTTATGGCAGATGGATGTTACGCATGTTCCCTCCTTTGGGAAGCAGAAATATGTTCATGTAACTTTAGATACCTTCTCTCACTTTATCCTAGCATCACCTCAGACAGGTGAGGGAGCCAAGCGTTGTATAGATCATTTATTATATTGTTTTTCCATTTTGGGTATTCCACAGCAGATTAAGACTGATAATGCACCTGCCTACTGCAGTAAGAAATTTCAGCAGTTCTGCACAACTTTTAGAATCTTCCTTAAACATGGCATTCCTTACAACCCACAGGGGCAAGGCATTGTGGAGCGAGCTCATCAAGAACTCAAAAATCAGCTTTTTAAAATTAAAAAGGGGGAGTATTATACCCACACCCCCAGGAATTTACTTAATCATATAATTTTTATTTTAAACTTTTTGCAAATGGACAAAGACGGCCAGACGGCGGCTCAGCGGTTTTGGGAGCCCACACCAAAACGCTTTCCAGATGTATACTGGAGAGATCCACTGACTAGGGAATTGCATGGGCCGAATTCAGTACTAATGTGGGGGAGAGGCTATGTTCGTGTTTTCCCAACAGGAGACGAGAATCCTCGGTGGCTACCTGAGCAGTGTGTGCGCCATGCCTCGAAGACAGGTGGCAAAGCTGAGGGATCGACTGGACCGCCTGCGGCTGGGGCCATCTAGAAATGAAATGGGACTAATGTGGAGGACCTGCCACAGTAATGTGACAGTGTGCCAGGGAAAGCTGTGCGACTGGGCCGACACTGATTATGACTTTCGCCCCCAGAACCTAGTGACTGGACTTTGGACAATGGACAATATTACTTACCAAAGAGATTTGTGGAAAACGGTGGCTGCCATGGCCTATATCACTGTCGGGAAGGAGAATGTGACGGTGCAGCCACAAAGGGGAGTCATTAGTGGCTCGGGGAGCAGCTGGAATGTGAGTGTGTCTGCATGCGTACCTGAACCTTATGCCTTGTTGCTGGGTAATTTTAGTATTAGCCTAGATCATGAAACTGGAATAACCAGCATCGCCTGTAATGATTGTAGTCTAACTCATTGCATTAATGGCACTACCCCTTCCTTGTTAATCTTATATCAACCTGTATTTGTCCTCCTGCCAGTTAACACCACCCAAGAGTGTCACGGGGCTTGCTGTGCTTCAAACAGTAGAAAAGGCCTTAAGCCAAACGAAAAAGATTTGTAGGATTGTTAATAGCGGGTATCACTGCCTTAATCACTTTAATTGCTTCTGCCACTGCATTGCCATATCTTAACAACTTCCATTCAGACAGCAGACTATGTAAACAACCTGGCTTACAATGTAACGCAAGCACTACAAGCCCAAGAGAACTGGGACAAGAAAATAGAGCAAAGGGTGAACGCTCTCTATGATGTTGTACAAATCCTAGGCGATGAGATTGTAAGCTTGGAGGTGAAAAGCTCTCTAAGATGCCACGCCGCATTCTCATGGATTTGCATAACACCAAAAGAATATAATGATTCTAGGTTTCCATGGGAAAATGTCAAAAGGAATCTTCAGGGTATATGGCACGATGCAAACACCTCCCTTGATTTGAGAATATTTGCATGGAGAAATCCAAAATTTGCTGAACTCACCAAAGCTTGATATAGATATAGCCCGAGAAGCCTCGGAGTTTGTATCCCGGCTACGGAACAACTTCCCAACTATAAGTGCTTTCCTTCATGGAGTAATAGGCCTAATTGCAGTAGCAAGTTTCCTGATACTTTTATGCATGTTGTTGCCTTTCTGTATAAGATTAATCTGTAAGCAAATGTACAAGTTAGCCATGGACATCCGCCTGCTTCAGCTGCATCCAGAGAAGGACAGCATCCCGCTTGAGTTGTAAAAAATTAAAAAGGGGGAGCTGTGGGAAGCCATGTTCCGTGGGGCCCGAGGGCAAGGATGGAGCATAGGGTAGGGACGCCTACCTGCTCTCCCCTAAGCCTTCAGGGTCAACCAGGGACAGGGCAGACCATAGCCCCATTGTTAGAGAGTGCGCATGATGCACGACTTACCTGGATGTTCTCAGCTAGGCTGTTCTCAATGATATCTAACCAGACGCCTGCTCTATGTATCTTTTCCAAGAATGTGTTGAGTAGCTGACAGGTGGCCTTGTCCTGGGAAAGGGGCACTTGGAGAAATGCCCAGAAAAGCCGCATAAATGTACGCCTGCAACTAATAAAGTTACTGCAGTCTCATCATGGACTAGCAGTCCTCCTGAAGTCCCGCTTTCTCTTGTCTTTATTTCTCTTAAAACCTTCTAGCCCTGGGAGCGGCCAGGCCCGTGGGAGCAGGCGGGTCGGGTGCGGCCAGGCCCGGAGCAGCGGCTGCCAGGCTGGGAGCGGCCAGGCCCGGAGCAGCAGCAGCCAAGTCCAGAGCAACTAGGTCGGGAGCGGCAGTGACCAGACCCGGAGCAGCTGGTTGTGGAATGAACCAGAGCAACAGAGGCCAGGCCCTGAGCAGCCAGGCCCAGAACAGCTCGCTCCTTGCCTGCCCCTGCCCCACGGCTGCTTCTCAGACATGGCTGGAAACTTTCGTGGGAACTTGAGGGTCTGCTGAATCAAGTGATGAAGGCTTAGATCTGGATGTGTTGAGTTAGTTTAGGACTGGGGTGTTGATCTGTGAGTGCCTTGGGTGGGGCCTGGATGAGGCTGGTTGACCTAGTGGGAAATGTCTTTTGTGTGAAGTGTATCATTGGGCATGTGGAGGTATTATTGATATGAGAAAATGCTAAGTAACTGATTTACTATCTGAAAAGAGATTTACTATTGGGGAAATTGAGGGAAGAAGAGACTGAACATAAACTGCACCTATGGATGAGGACAACGGGGGATGGGGGGGGGACGGAGGGTGGTGTGGGAACCTGGTGGAGGGGGGAAGAAATGAGGAACCTTTGTAATAATATGAACAATAAAGATTGATTTAAAAAAATAAATAAATAAAAATAAAAATAAAAAATAAAAAAAACCTCCTAGCCCTACCTTCAGGACCTGTGATGCCGGCTGGATCCGGTAAATGGGGACATTTTTCCCAGTGTCGAGGCAATCCAAGCCCCACAAGAGAAGGCTGTAGCACTCAGTTACTGAATCAGTTGTGAGATATAAGCAAAAACACCAATAACTTAGCAAAATAAATACAATGAGAGTCTCGCTGAGATTGATGTAATCCAGTAAAAATAGATTTTAAGCTCTAAGTCAGTCAAGATGACTGAGGTACACCTTGTACCACATCTTAGGGCAGTGGTCCGAAAACTGCAGCTCTCGAGCCACATGCAGCTCTTTGGCCCCTTGAGTGTGGCTCTTCCACAAAATACCACAGCCTGGGCGAGTCTATGTTGAAGAAGTAGCGTTAGAAGTTTACGTTTAAAAATTTTGGTCTCAAAAGAAATTTCAGCCGAAACCGGTTTGGCTCAATGGATAGAGCTTCGGCTTGGGGACTGAAGGGTCCCGGATTCAATTCCGGTCAAGGGCATGTACGTTGGTTGAGGGCATATCCCCAGTGGGGGGGTGTGCAAGAGGCAGCTGATCGATGACTCTCTCTCATCGATGTTTCTAACTCTCTATCTCTCTCTCTTCCTCTCTGTGCAAAATCAATAAAATATATTAAAAAATAAAATATATTTTAAAAAAATTTTCAATCATACTGTTGATATTTGGCTCTGTTGACTAATGAGTTTGCCAACCACTGTCCTAGGGAAATCCCTAAGACATTTTGGAAGTCTTCAAAGCAGAGAAATCACATGTAACTATAGCTCTACACAATCTTTCTGCTCAAAGCTACACCCTGAGTATACATCCCCTTCTCCTCTGAAAGACAGGCTTCAGTGGAAGCTGAAGGAGACCTGAGTCAGCATGAGCTGAGGGTGGAACTGATAGAAAAACAGTTTGTTGCCAAGAACTGCGCTGTGTTTTGTGAGGATCTTGGTTCCCTCAGGACACTCTCCAAGATGTGTGTGTCCATCTTCTAGAGCTGAGGCAAATCTTGTCATCTCTTCACTTCTCCCGACTGGCTGAGGACCTGGGACAGCTGAACCCAGTCTACAGCAGAAGGGAGGCTCTGCTGAGAGAAAAACAGTAACTACAGGCATAAGGGTATCGCCCTGGCTCCTGCCAGCAGGCTATTGTCCATCAAGGGCTGCAGTGTCCAGAGGAGGCACTCATCCCCTTTCCACCCAGCAAACCCAGGACAGGAGCTCAGAAATGGGGCCACAGCCCCACGCCCGGCGGCCAGCCAAGGATGGGTCAGGAAGTTCAAGTCACTGCTAGGCCAACAGGGGTGGCGAGTTTCTCCACAGCCGAGAGGCAACTGCAACAGTACCCTCCTCCTTCTCAGCTCATGTTTCCACCACTCGGATGAGAGGCATGGGCTTAGGGCTGGGCAACTTGGCTATCCTAACTCTGCCCAGGTTCTCGGTCTTGGCCCAGGTCTAGGTGCTGAAGTAGGCGTGACTGGCCTGCTTCTCTATCAGGTGTTCCTTCTCTGTCGGTCATGCATCTCTAAATTCTCTGCTTCCAGGTAGGCCATTTTCTCCTTGAGCTCCTGGATGCTGGTGTCCTTTGTCTGGATCACAGCTTTGGAATTCTGGAGCTGCTCTATCATTCGCCGGGCTTTCCGCTGCTGGCTCTTAAGCATGTCATCCAAGTGGTGGATCTTCTCCCGCAACCCAGCCACTTCCTTTTCCAGGTTAGCAGCCTTTCCTGTTCTGCTTGGCAGTCAGCATTCTTGCTCTGAAGTTCCTCCAGGGCTTCCTCCCCTGACTGTCCTTCTCCAGTAAGGCCTGGTGCTCTGTCTCCATCCGGAGCAAGCGCCTCTGCAGCTCTCTGATTTCCACCTCTTTCTGTTCTGCTCTGTCCTCTGATCTCTGAAGGGCCCCATGATTCTGCTCGACTTCTCTCTGGTATCATCTGAAGTGTGACCTCAAAAGCCACATGGTCTGCCTGGGGCTGCTGCTCAGCCTCCTGCAGCTTGGCCAGCAAGTCCCGCACCGTCTTCCTCAAACTCTCGACATCTTCATTCATATAGGTGGCCACCTCAGCTGGGCTGCTATACAGTGTCGCCATGGGACTTGGACTAAAACCATTTGGCCTCTCTAGCACCACCTGTATTTCCTGTTGATGGTGAGACTCTCCTGGATCTCTGATGAGCTTGCTACTTATATTCTCCTGGAGCTTCTGCAGACAGTTCCTGGCCTCCTGGATGTACTGGACCTCACTCTTCAGCTGGTTAATCTTCTCATGGATCATCTTGTCTCCAGACCTCCCCTTCAAGTACACCTTAATGATCTCCTCATGTCCATCGCTGGACTCCACCAGTTCTGAGGCCAGAGAATGATTGGGTGAGTGGCCAGACACCATGGCATAGGTCTTCCTGCCCGCTGTGGTCTGCTGCTCCGGGTACACATCCACCAGGGTACACCAACCCCAAGTCTCGTTCATCTTCCTCCTGCAGGGGTCACCACACTCAGCCTGCAGCACTGCGAACTAGCTCCTACTGAATTTTATACTTTATTTATTTATTTATTTATTTTTAAACAAAGTAAGTGCATTATTGATCCACTTATTTAAGCATTCATTGGTTGATTCTTTTTTAAAAAATATATTTTTATTGATTTTTTACAGAGAGAAGAGAAAGGGATAGTTAGAAACATTGATGAGAGAGAAGAATTAATCAGCTGCTTCTTGTACACCCCCTACTGGGGATGTGCCCACAACCAAGGTACATGCCCTTGACCAGAATTGAATCTGGAACCTTTCAGTCTGCAGGCTGACACTCTATCCACTGAACCAAACTGGTTCCGGCTGAATTTTATACTTTAAAAGTTCAATTGTATTGTATGTGAGTTATATTTTGATAGAGTTGTTTTTTAAAAAAATAAATCAACATAAATTCTAATTTCACTGGGTAAATAACTAGGAGTAGAAATGTTGGGTTGTATGGTAAGTATATGTTTGTTTACCCTTATGTTTTTCCAAACAAATGTTTTTCCAAAGTTGCTATACCACTTGCATTGCCATCAGCAATGGAAGAAAGGACCAATTGCTCCGCATTCTCATTAACATTTGGTACTGTCGAGAAACCAAGATGGCAGCATAGGGCAGACACCCAAATGCAGCCTACCACAACAAATTTGAATTTAGAACTGGAAAACAGGGGAGGCATTGCCCTGAAGCACCGGACAGCTAGCTGAGAGGAGGCTCTGCCATCTGGGAAGGAGAGAGAAGGCACGCTGAACCTCAGGAACAGTGAAGGTACAGAAAACTGTGTGCGCAAAAAGGCGCTGGCTTACTCCCAGAGCGTTGAGAGGGAGGGCCGGACCGAGATTGCTGCTGGCTTACTCCCGGCACGCAGAGAGGGCGGGCCTGGCTGAGTTTGCTACTTACTTCTGGCGTGCGGACAGCTAACGTGCGGCTGGCTTTCTTGTTCGAGAGGAAAACAGAATCAGCCTATTGCTCTGATAGACTGCCACAGTCAGGGAGAGGCCAGACTGTCAGGCAGTGGGCAGAGATCTCTTGGAGGTGTGTGAAGCCAGAGGCCATTACTGCGGGACTTGGGGAGGAGCTGAAGGGAAAACAAAGCTTGTCTGCACCAACCCGAGACTCTGCCCCATCCAAGCTGAGCACAGAAGCTCTCCCAGAGGCTGGCTTTCTCTAAGGAGGGACTGGCCAGAATCCAAAGCTTGTCTGCGCCTTTACCAAAGAGGTGTGTGTGCCTGCAACCAATCCTCTGAAACTCACAGCGAAGATGACTTTTCTAAGGCAAGACTGACAGGGAACCAAAGATTGTCTGCACCACCCTGAGACCCGCCCCATCCAAGCGGAATATAGAAGCCCTCCTAGCCGAGACACTGATACTCTTCACAGCCAATTGGCTTGGAGATCAATGCTTCCCAGTGATACCAACAATCAGCAAGGCTTAACAACAAGACTGCACACACAGCCCACAAAGGGCTACACCAAGACTGTCCACCTCAGGTAACTGGGAAGGCTGTGCTTCTGGGCTCTACCAGAATATCTAGCACACAAAACTATTCCATCAAATCAGGGAAACAACTAAAATGCACACATGAGGCAGGACACAAAGGAAGGAGATGGAGGAAAAGAAAAGATTGGACATTGAATTCAAAACTACAGTTATAAGGTTATTCAAGAATATCCTTAAAAAGGCCGATAAAATAAATGAGACCTATGAGGATATGAAAAGGGATCAACTAGAAATAATAAGGGATCAACTAGAAATGAAGAAAATATTGTCTGAAATAAAAAATATTACACAGAGTCCTAAAAGCAGACTGGAAGATCGCAAGAATCAAGACAAAGATTTAGAACACAAAGAGCCAGAGGACACTCCTCCACAGAAGCAAGAAGATAAGAGAATCCAGAAAGTTGAAGATAGTGTAAGAAACCTCTGAGACAATTTCAAGCGAACCAACATTAGAATTATGGGTATCCCAGAAGAAGAGAGAGAGCAAGATACTGAAAGAATACTGGAAGAAATAGTGACAGAAAACTTACCCCACCTGGGGAAAGAAATAGACTTACAAGTCCAGGAAGCCTGCAGAACCCCAAACAAAAGGAATCCAAAAAGGACCACACCAAGACACATCATAATTAAAATTCCAAGAGCAGAAGACAAAGAAAGAATATTAAAAGCAGCAAGAGAAAAGTAGGTAGTTACCTATAAAGGAGCACCTATACGATTGTCAGCTGATTTCTCAACAGAAACCATGCAGGCCAGACGGGAATGGCAAGAAATATTTAAGGTAATGAATAGCAAGAACCTACAGTCAAAAATACTCTACCCAGCAAAGCTATCACTCAGAATCAAAGGCCAGATAAAGAGCTTCACAAATAAAAAAAAGCTAAAAGAGCCAAAACCGGTTTGGCTCAATGGATAGAGCGTCGGCTTGGGGACTGAAGGGTCCCGGGTTTGATTCTGGTCAAGGGCATGTACCTTGGTTGCGAGCATATCCCCAGTAGGGGGTGGGCAAGAGGCAGCTGATCGATGACTCTCTCTCAACGATGTTTCTAACTATCTCCCTTCCTCTCTGTAAAAAATCAATAAAATAAAAAAATAAAAAATAAAAAAATAAAAAAAGCTAAAAGAGTTAATCACCGCCAAACCAGAATTATATGAATTGCTGAAGGGGGTTATTTAGGAATAGAAAGAAGATAAAGGTAAAATTATGAACAACAAATACGTAACTATCAACAAGTGAACCTAAAAACCAAAAGAATTAAAAAATCTGATGAGCAATATTAACTGGTGAATATAATAGAATCAGAGGTATGGAAGGAGAGTGGACTGACAATTCTCGGGGAAAAGGGGAGTGGGGGTGCGGGAAGAGACTGAACAAAAACTGTGCACCTATGAATGAGGACAATGGGGGGTGGGGAAAGGACAGAGGGTGGGGTGGGAACCTGGTGGAGGGGAGCAATTGAGGGGGGAGGGAGAGGAACACATTTGTAATAATCTGAACAATAAAGATTTATTTATATTTAAAAAAAAACCATCTGGTACTGTCTTTTTTCCTTTCTAATTAATTTATTCATTAATTTTCTCACTAGACGTGCAGGTCACACGATGATTTTAGAAGTAGGGCTAGGAACAGAACACAGGCTCCCATTCCCATCCAGTGCATTCTGGACAGCTGCGCCTGCAATCTTACTGCCAGCCTCTCACTCTCAGAAAAGATAGTGCTTTAGGTTTATAATTCTCCAGAGAGCTTAAGGATTCCTGAGAAGTCAGTTGGAAAGATGCCCAGGTTAAATGGGTTCCTGGAATCTGGGTGGAGAACCTACAGTTTGCAAGAGTTCAATTCAGGCAAGGTCAAGATGAGGTGACTATCAGATGATCTGGGAACTTGGCATTTCCCTAAGGCAATCAGATGATCTGGGAGCTTGGCGTTTCCCTTCTTAGAAGATGAGAATAGGAGTTGTGGTCAGAAGCTTGAGTTCAATAGCCAAAGGCCAATGATTTAATCAATCATGATTATGTAATGGAACCTCCATAGAAACCCAGGAGGACAAATCCTTCGCCCTTTTTATTGGAGAACTTCCACGCTGGTCAATCAGATTCTCCGGGAAAAGGGGAGTGGAGATTGCGGGAAGAGACTGAACACAAACTGTGCACCTATTGATAAGGACAATGGCGGGTGGGGAAAGGGCAGAGGGTGGAATGGGAACCTGGTGGAGGGGAGCAATGGAGGGGGGGAGGGGAAGAGGAACATTTGTAAAAAAGATTTATTTTTTTAAAAATTAGAATGCTTCCATATGTCACCTTGTCAGACCAAGTTTCACAAAGACAGTAGCTCTTTTGTTTGGGATCTTAATCTATGTATCTCTTCATCTGGCTATTAATTCATATCCTTTAATATCCTTTGTAGTAAAGCAGTACAGTAAACCCTCAATTTTGCAAACTTTGATTTAACAGACTTTTGGATTTGATATATGAAAATTAACACCCTGCTAATTTTAAAATGCTTTTAATAAAAAATTACTTATAATTAAATTAGTAGGTTATTTTTTGTTATTATACTGTTATTTTTTTAAAAAGTACATTTTATTGACTTTTTACAGAGAGGAAGGGAGAGAGATAGAGAGCTAGAAATGTTGATGAGAGAGAAACATTGACCAGCTGCCTCCTGCACACCCCCCACCGGGGATGTGCCCACAACCAGTGTACATGCCCTTGACCGGAATCGAACCTGGGACCCTTCAGTCCACAGACTGACGCTCTACCACTGAGCCAAACCGGTTTTGCTATACTGTTATTTATTTATTTATTTATTTATTTATTTTACAAATTTTAGTGAATAGGCCATATGTTGGAAAAAAACACTAGCAATTTTGCCAACATAAATTAATATTACATATCTATAATTATAGTGTACATATTTAAATCCAAGACACCACTCTAAACAATGTTGGGAAAATTATTAGCACATGATCACACCACATCGTGAGAGCTAATGGGTTCTGTTGTCTTGTGGTGTGACTTTCCGAAGCAGTTTCAACGGGTGTCAGCCTATGTTGCCATGCACACTAAGCCACACCCCAGCCATGTGCATTTGTTTACTTGCGGTGTTTTGAATGCACACGTTTACTAGACATATTCAATATAAATTTAAAATTGCTATAATACATATAGGATACATAGAAAACTTCTCTGTGAAATTAAACTTTTCATACTTAATTTTAAATTACACAAATGTGTCCACATAACCAAGAACAGGTAAACTAACTAATTTGTCAATTTTTAAACATATGCATTCGGAAAACCTACTTTATTATATAATGGACTTTTGGGTTTAACGGACACCCCCTCACCCAAATAAGTCCATTCTAGTGAGGTTTTACTGTAATCTGTTGTATACATGGGTTTTCCTGAGTTCTGTGAGCCACTTGAGCAAATTAATCAAACTCAAGGAGTGGGTATT